CCTCACATGCAAAATGGGACCACCACCACGCATTATGAGCTTTCTTAAATGCAAAATGTCCTGCCCAGCACCAGCACAGAATTGTTACTCACTGTAAGTTTTCTTCTCTTTCACTCCAGTTCCTTTGGCCTTTCAAAACCACTTTGATTTACTGTTTTCACCCATTTTTTTCACTCATAGAACATTTAAAACCTCACATAACATATTAAACTGAATTCTTGGCTTGCTTATGGAATCTCAAATTTCCAGAGCCTAAATTAGCTTGTGGCTAATATACTTCTGTGACCACCACACACCACTAGAAACAGTAGGAACTCATTTGTTAAATGAATTACAGTGCTTAAGAAAAATAGAAAGCACTAAAAATCAAAATAGGGGAGGAAACGGCAAAACTTACACCTATTCAGGCATTCTTGCCTGATAGTCAATTGTCTGACAATCATTTTAAGAAATACTTCTGACTCTTCCTCAGTTCAGTGGTTGACTGACTTCTGTGATAGTCAGCTTCCAAGATGGTTCCCAATGATCATCATCTAACATTTATTTATCCTTCCCACAATGGCTCTGTGTGACCAACAAAATACTGCAAAAATGACAGTGCTGACTTTAGAGGCTATATATTTTTTTAAAAGGCACTGCAGCTATGGCCTTGTTCTCTTAGATCACTTGCTCTGGTGGGAACTAGCCATCATGCTGTGAGGGCAGATGGCTGTATGACCTTGGGCAACTTATATGGCCTTTCTGAGGTTCAGTTTTCCTCACTTTTAAAATGAAGATATTTATTTTATAGTATTTATTTCACAGGGTATTGTGAACGTTAAATAAGACATGCATGTAAAGCACATAGTAGGATGCCTGACACATAATAAACTTTCATTAAATGTGGCTAATACTGGTGGTGGTGGCCTTGCATGACATTTAGTCCTGTCCAAAATGGAAACATTTGGTCCACAACAACTCATCTACCTAATCCCATGTGCCATGACCAGCTAGGCTACTGAGTGAGGATAGAAGAGTTATTACAGGCAATACAGCCATAACACGATTACTGGACCAATAAAACATGATTGCATTTTTCAATGCATTAATCCTATAAACCAATAGTGCAAATAAACATTATGGGCTGTTTCAACTCAGGGATATTTCCTAGGTATGGACATTTTTGCTAGGACCAAATAGCAAGGACTATTTGGCATGGACAAATATGCTCAGGGATGTTTGGATAGGACCAAATTTCAAGGACTTTTTGTCATGTACCAAATGTCTCTGTGGATGGGTGTTTTGGGTAGGACCAAATGTCTGCTAATCAGTGGTGGTGGTAGTAGAAGTTGGATGTGAGATGTGAAGGAAAGAATGGAATCAAGGATGATTCCTAGGTTTTTGGCTTGAATAACTAAAGAAGTGATAGTATCATTTTCCGAGTTTGAGGAAAATGGCAGAAAAGTTGTGGAGAACAAAGGCATTCTTTTTTTTGGAACTAAGGTGTTTAATCCTTAAAAGGTAATATTAAAATTATCTTTCAATCACTTATAAACAGCATTCCATCGTTTCTTTTCTAAATTGCTTCAAACTGTTTTTTTTTTTTTTCATTTGTTTGTTTGAAGTAATTCCATCCTGGAATATGAAAAATTATTGAAGTAAAAATGATACGATTTCCAGAGGCCAAATTACTGTGCCATTGATGGCCATGTAATGTCGGATGAGTCACAGTTCTCAAAAAAATGATGGCAAGCATTGCAAAGAAAAACAGCAGCAGAACAAGATCTAGACACTAAGATGGTTTTCATTTTTGTTTTAGAGAGAAACATTAGCAAACATTAGGGAGAATTTATGCAATGGACATGAAATAAGGTAAGCACTGGAGATTGAGAAATGGCAAAGTAGTTCTATTAATTTTAAATGAAGATTTACTGATAACTAAAGTACTCAGACTTGATAAAATCAAATTTCTGTTCCCATTTTCAGACTCCCACTGGTTTAACTTCCTAAGAAAGGGTAGTGTGTGACGCAGGTCTGGCTTCCCAGCTCTACACTCAGCTTTCCTCCAGTTTCTAGTTCAGATTGGTTAAACAATCCTATACATAACATTGGTTTCACAATTCTTTATATCATAATATAACTATTCATTTTATCTGAGGCATACTTGGTCTTCAGATTCCAGTAGTTTCCAGGATTCTCCAAATCTATTATGAACTGCTCCAAACCAATTTTAAATCCATTCATTTTATCTGAGGAATACTTGGTCTTCAGATTCCAGTAGTTTCCAGGATTCTCCAAATCTATTATGAACTGCTCCAAACCAATTTTAAATCCATTCATTTTATCTGAGGAATACTTGGTCTTCAGATTCCAGTAGTTTCCAGGATTCTCCAAATCTATTATGAACTGCTCCAAACCAATTTTAAATCTGAATGGAGGCAGCACAGGGCAATTAGAATTAGTAGCATGGGTTAGTTCTTAGTAACCAAGTTGGGACCCAAACTCCTGGGTGCAGTCTGTGCTTACAGTGTACTGCGTTGGGCCTTACTTCTTTATCCTTAAAACAAAGGGTTTATACCCACGGGTGATCATAAAAAGTTCTATTCTAGCTCTATGATATTCGATTCTAGTAAGAACATTTTGAGTTTTGTTTCTCTTTATTCTTAATAAAGATGAACTGCAAATAAGCCATTTGCAAATGATTTTGCAGACAAATTTGTACTAATATTTTAGTGGGTCAACACAAAGTGATTCCCAGGTCACTGTGTTGTATAAAACTAGCCATGAGGATTAAACCTTTGAACTTCAGTGAAGCATGCTAATAAAGCTGAGGCATAACTGGGTTATGAAATAACAAGGAAGTACAGTATATATATGGTCCACCAACTTCCTCCCACTACAAAAACAGAGAAATTTTTTGACGAGGTAGTTGCTACATTTACTATAACTACTGGATTTCTTTAATACCGTTTAATTTTTTTTTATCTGTCATTGGTGTCATACAAGAATCTGTTCACACTGACAAAAACTGAAGGATTCTGGAAGAGTGATGATCAGAGAATTTTAAGTCTGAAGTTTACCATCACTGCCCTGAATGACAGAGCCTTGATTGGCATAAACTACTTGTACAGGTAAGACTGATCATTTACATTTAGCTTAAAAGTTAACTCTGTAGAAATTCTAACAGAATTAAAATGTTTACATTTCAAAAACTGATCATTAAAAGGTAGTCAACATATTAACTGTATAGATAATTGTTAGTAACTGAAGTTAGTTGTAGAACTTTGTTCATGTGTCAAATTAGCAGAGACACAATGTGTGTATGAGTGAGTCAAGACAGGTACTCTGCTGAGGGGAATGCAGACATTTTTTGGAAAGCAATTCTGCATACATAATGTGATTTTTATTTGATTTTTTTAAGCTTTACAGTATTTTCCAAATTTTAGAAAAGAATTATCTAGTAGTTTTATAATCAAAGTTTATTTTTAAAGGAGAGGTACATAGTAGATACAAGTTTGGTGTTCGAGAAGCTAAAGATGTAAACTAGTTGTTGTTTGTTACAGTGAAGTTCCTATAGAGTCTCAATGTCATTTGTCTGATAATGCTAGACTCAGAATATCTTTTTACCTCCCTTCTGTTCTGAAGCATTTGCTAGTGTGAAGTAGAAAAGCAAGACATTGATAATGAGTAATATGAGATATCAGATGCTATATGAGGTGGTCTAATTTTTTTAAAAAAGGAATACTATTAAGAAAGAAACACTATAACCTTTACAGATTTTAGTATAAAACGTATTATCTACACAAGGCAGGGACTAGTGTTTTTATTTAATATCATCATAAAAAAAAACTTCATTCCTTATGAAAAATAAAAATCTACTTTGATCAGGTAAATTTTTCTTAAGAAATAAACAGGCTTATTTCACTTTCTAGTTGACTGATTTAAAAATTAGTCAAGTTGCAGATTAAGTTTTATATATTTACAACCAGATATACACTAACTGCAACCAGATTCCAATTTGCCAGGCTGCAGTGGGTTGAGATACACTCACTGTGAAGCACATGGACTATTTTCTAAATAAAAATTACAAAGGAATAAAATAAAATGATAAAGACACTGGTAGATATTAATTAAAGGTCTCAATATTTGAACCTAGAGACACAACACAGGCCTTAAACTTTCAAGTCTTTGGATGGGTATTGTTTAGTTTTAAAAATTATTTCAAAATTATAGTAATTATTCTTTTCAAATACACAATTTCTGTAATCCATGATTCTGAAGGGAGATAGAGAGTAAAATAGCCCTGAGGGGCTGGAGGCATATAAGAATCATAGAAGGCAGTGTATGGTAAAAACTTTGTGTTTATCAAAACAGAATATACGATTTAAAAAATGAGATTGAGAATCTCCAATCTAGATTATAAAAGAGTGAAGAATGTGGCACCTAGAAAGCTACGGTGAAAAACACAGAAGAGTGTGGCACATTCTGAATAGAGCTCATGATTCTTATTTGACCAGAATCCAATAACTTTTATTATTCCCACCTGAAAGAAATGAGTTAATGAGGAAAAATAAGAAGGAAAGAGTTTTTATGTGACTCTTTAACACTTCATGTGCATCCTTTGAAGAAAGATTTAAAAATAAGACATAAAAAAGCAAAAACCACACCTGCATTTATGCTGTGATTGATTAAAATAGCTCTAGAAAACATCATATTCTCTGAAAAACCAGATACTCAATTACTCACAAAGACACACGAGGGCGCTCTAACCAACAAGCACAGCAGCTAGTTTTGACAGAATTTTAAAGTAAGCTTTGTATTGAAATATGATAGTTTAACACTAAATATTTGAAATAAGAAATTACTGATGCCCTTTGGTAAAGATCCTGGGATTTTGGTGTTTATCCTTGGCTATTACACTTCTGTTTAATTCAGGATCTTGCCTGAGTATTTTTTTTATATTGAATTAAGTTTAGTTCTGAATATGAAGAGATTCTTTTAACAGTATTAGATTAGGGAGAAGTGCTTTAACCTAGTCATGAAAAGATACCATTTAAAAAAGTATTTATGTACAATTAAGGTAATAATTAAAAATCGGTCCTCTCTCTATTAAATGTAGTCACAAATGCTTTTGCAACACTTTCCTTTGGCCAGTATGTATTGCTTGCATGAGCCTTAAATTTTTTAAAAATTTCTTTCTAGGCAAAAATCAATTGTAATTTACAAATTGATTTACAATCTAATAGAAGAACTATAAATTCTTTCAGTATAAAATGATAAATCTCAGGCATTTAACTATTTGTATCAAATTTTGTGTTTTAGACAAAAGCACTAGCCACAATAAACAACTTTTTGCTTTTATTTCGACTGGGCAATCGTGATTAGAAAAGGTGAGATGGCATCTATACTTTCCCTTTCCATCTAATACATTTATGTTATTATTTTATTTCATCCAACGCATTAAAAATATTCAGCTTATATACAGTCTCTAACTTTAATATTAAATATCTGTAATTTTGTTCTAGCTCCTGTGACAAAATTCAAGAAAATCTGATATAAATGAGTAACAACTCAACATGTATTCAACCATCCATGATCTCTACCATGGCTTTACCAATCATTTATATCTTCCTTTGTATCATTGGTCTCTTTGGAAATTCTCTTTCTCAATGGGTGTTTTTAACAAAAATAGGTAAGAAAACATCAACCCACATCTACCTAGCACATCTTGTGACTGCAAACTTACTTGTGTGCAGTGCTATGCCTTTCATGGGTATCTATTTTCTGAAAGGTTTTCAATGGGAATATCGATCGACACAATGCAGGGTGGTCAATTTTTTGGGAACTCTATCCATGCATGTGAGCATGTATGTCAGCCTCCTAATTCTAAGTTGGATTGCCATAAGCCGCTACGCTACCTTAATGAGAAAGGATTCCACACAAGAGACCACCTCATGCTATGAGAAAATATTTTATGGCCATTTACTGAAAAAATTCCGCCAGCCCAACTTTGCTAGAAAACTATGTGTTTACATATGGGGAGCTGTACTAGGCATAATTATTCCAGTTACCGTATACTACTCAGTTGTAGAGGCTACAGAAGGAGAAGCGATCCTGTGCTATAACCGGAAGATGGAACTAGGAGCCATGATCTCTCAGATTGCAGGCCTCATTGGAACCACATTTATTGGATTTTCATTTTTAGTTGTACTAACATCATACTACTCTTTTGTCAGCCATCTGAGAAAAATAAGAACCTGTACATCCATTACAGAGAAAGATTTAACTTACAGTTCTGTGAGAAGGCATCTTTTGGTCATCCAGATTCTACTAATAGTTTGCTTCCTTCCATATAGCATTTTTAAACCTGTTTTTTATGTTCTACACCAAGGAGAGGACTGTAAGCAACTGAATTATTTAATCGAAATAAAAAACATCCTCACCTGTCTTGCATCGGCCAGAAGTAGTACAGACCCCATAATATTCCTTTTTTTAGATAAAACATTCAAGAAGACACTATATAATTTCTTTACAAAATCTGATTCACCACATATACAACTCTAGATTTGACTTCTGGATGAAAAACAACACCAAACAGTAAAGTGTCCATATGACTTTATTGGGGACACTAAACTACATGATCAACAGGTCATAGCTTGATTTATAACTGGCACCAAGAAAACCTCTTTGATTTTTAAAAATAAAATTCACTTTACAGTTCTACTTATACTGAAAGTTGAGATGGCAGAGGCTTTCAGCAGCAAAAGTCAAGCATACTGAAAGGATCTCACTGCATATGAAACCAATCAACCATTTTCTATTTAAAGTCAACCATGGATGTGTCTATTCAGAACACAATATTTCATGACTGTAGGATAAAAAAGCAACTGGCTTATGACTTTTCTGCTCTGTAGTAGTTAGAATACGAGGGCTCATCTATGGATAGTGTTTGTTGGTAACTTTAAAAATGGGTAAAAGAAAAAAGTGAATAAGAAATTTCCTCATTTAAGTCCTATCTAAATGTATGAATAATACAGTGCAAAAGTTCAAGGTTTTATAAACAGATTATTTATTTGGTATCTGACTCATGTTACTATGAGAAGAAATATTCATTGATTCTGGTATTTGTTAAGCAGATATTATTTATAAATATGCTTAAATATTTGGATTAGGCTTTGTCAAAGTAAAAAGTTAATGTTATTATATGCCAATCTTGATCATATTTTATATATTTTCTTCTGTATTCAATATAAATAATGTTATTAATGACTAACAGTACCTGGCATATAGATAAGTTCAATTAATTTTTGTGAAATAAATGAATGAATGATAAGGCAGTATAATAGTATTGTTGTTAAGAGATTGGTCTCTGGAATTAGAGTCCTTTGGTTCAATCCTAGCTCTACCACTTATTTAGCCAGACAATTGTAGACAACTTATTTACTCTCTTTGTTAATTTCTTCATTTGTAGAATGGAAAAATACTACATAATTCATAGGTACTGTTATTAAATCAGATGACGTTACTATTAGGAGAAGCTACCATTTACTAAGCACTTGCTATGTGCCAGGCACTCTGCTTATATACCTTACATGTATTATTTTAATCATCACTGCCCCAAAATATGCGAATTTACTGATGAAAAACTGAAGCGCATAGTTAAGTTGTACAGACTTTCTCCAATATTTAAGCAAATATAATTAAAGAGTAAGCATTTCTTAATGGTCATTTCTTCTATGTAATCTTGTCAGTAAGACAAATGATGGTGACTATATTCTGTATTATATACACTATAGCTAAAAAAAATTTTTAAATGCATGTTTTATCTTCCCAAAGAGATCATAAGCACCTTTGGAACTATAGTCTGTTTTCTATTTCTACTTCCATGGTACTTGCCTTCTCTGCTCAGATTAGAATTCAAAAAAATTGAAGCTGAATAAACATTAACTGCTACTTGGATAGAGACTGCTTAAAGACTCATTTATTCTCTACATGGCAATTTCTTCAGTGCTCAAAAAGAAGTTTCAAGTAAATTCATAGAGCAATTCTAAGCCTTCAATCTCATAGCGTGTTTTGTTCCTGAATTAAAAATGTAGAAACAATTCACTGTACAGATTCCCCAAGAGCCATGTGTTCAAAATCACTAGTGGTTTTTCTAACACATCTGCATAATTGTAATTTAAAAAGAATAGAAAACAAACAGTAAATGTTTCTTTCTCTTTTTTTTTTTTTTTACTTCAATGCTTAACTGAGAGAAGCAAATGTTCAGAGAAAAGTCTGAAAAAACACATGCTGGCTTCAAATATTTACAATGTATATCTATGCTTTTATAGCAGCAATCTGATTTCTAGCTGATTAATCTACAGAGACAAAGGCAGACCTGGGAACCCCACGTGACTCCCTGAGTGCTGGCTGTAAACTGAGATGTCCAATCTTGTAACTTCATAGAAATGAGAATCACAAAATAACTCAAAAGTTGACCAGGAAAGTTTCTGAGACATCTAGCTTTTTCCACAGTTATACCAGCAGTTTTATTCTTATACAAGTTTTAAAACCCAAACTCAAAACTAAGAGGAGCTGAGAAGATGATCAATAGTTTTCATTTAACATAAGCTATACTGTATAAATCTCACTGCCCTTAGGATTTTAAATATATATATATATGTGTGTGTGTGTATATATCTATATCTATATCTATATCTATCTCTATATCTATATCTATATCTATATCTATATATCTATATATATTTTCTAAAAACCATTATTAAAAAATTACTTTACAATGCTACACATTAAATAAAAGATAAAAGATATTGCTGGAGTTTCTTACATTTAAAAAAGGCAGAAATAGAGTTTTACAATTTCTCTTTAGGTTACTCATTCTGACGGAAAACTCCCATTTTAATTCTATTTATCTTTACGACATAGATGCTTTCCCGAACAGGTGATTGTAAGTCATGTTAAATTTTTTGGCTATTTAATGTCATGGTAAATATTTCATATGAAATATCACTTTCTAAAATATACCTCAACTTTAAAGTGCGGATTTCAGAAAAACAGTGTTTTTAATGTGTCTGAGTTATAGTCAAACACAATTTCAGAAACCCTAAATTTTTATTTAGGCCAACAACATTATATCTTAAAACAGGTATGACAAATGTTTATTTCCTCTTTTATCTTTTTCATATACACACTTCTCATTAAGGCAGCTTTCAAACTATTAATCAGGAGCACAAACCATAAAGACTAAACAAGCAAACTTAAGGATAGACTACTCAACCTGGAAAAGAGTTTCTACTCCCTGGGTAGAAGAGGAGGAAGTCAATTCTGTTCTGATTTGTAAGAACTCCTGCAGCCTCTCCCTGGCCTTGCAGTTTACAGGGTGGGAGTTATTATGAACAGATGTGGGCAGATAAGCTGAAAGGAAATCTTGCTTGGCAAACCACAAAGGGAGCATAGAGCAACACTGGTTATTTGCCAAGCATTTTAATCATGTAGCTAATGCCATGGACTTTCCTCTGACTGCCCCCAAATTCTAATTGAATTAATATCAGTGGGAAGAGTTACTATAGCTAGAAAGGTTTTACACCCGACAGAAAAAAAAAGCTCTTTGGCTATATCAAACATGCTTCCTACCTCTGGCTGAGAAGGAGAGGAGCAGTGAAAGGATCAACATCTAATAAGCAAAAGAAACAGTCATTTTTTTTCTTTTGAAATAAAGGAGTTGATTTTTTTTGGAAGGGTGGGGTGGGAGAAGAGAAACACAGCAGTTAGAAATACAAGATAAATTGGAGACAATCTTATAGTTCATGAGATTTTTCTAAGTACGATTTTACAACCTCGCATTCAAAACTGAACACGCACATGTGCTAAACAACCTTACAGAAGTTACAGATTAACCAGTGTGCTTCCTATAATCAAGAACAAAAGAAATAAGTTTTTAGATTAATGTGAATTCCATTTCTTTATATAACACTTTTGGGAGGTGTGGTAAGAGATATAAAAGAAATGTCAGCAACCAAGAGCAATAGAGGAAGAAATACTGTAAGAAATCCACAATGCCCTGGCAACTAGTGTGATACAATGAATGCTTGTTTATAATAAAGTCTGGCCTGAAGCAGGTGAAAGAAGAACTGAGACCAGAAGGGGACCAAAATGTAGCCAGGCATGTCAATGGGTTAGTGAGGAAAACCATTTAAAGGAAGCTCACACAGAAACGCTGGGCGGAGGCTTTTGGCTGACTGTCTGTGTGACTGAGGTTTTTGCTCAGTTCTGAGAACTAAAAACTGAGCCCCCAAACATCCTGGACACAGGCTCCACTCAGAATAGAAAGAGAATGTGTGTAGCGGTTTGCATTCAGAGAAGCTACTTAACTTCAACTTCAGTTATTAAAATTGTATGCCAGTAGGTCAGAGCCACAGAAAGGTCTAAGGATTGCTTTTTCTCTCATGCCTAGGTGATGCATTGTGAGGCTACCTCTAGGAGTTAGGAGAGACAAGAGAACTCCATCAGCTCTCAGTGCTTAACAGAGCCAATGAGGCAGGCAAGGAGCCAGGAGGTGCATTTACCTTGACAACTGTACAATTTCTTTTTGCAGTACTTTAAGGGGTGAGGAAGAAAAGAGAAAAACACTGAAACATAATGAGTTTTCATATCCTTTCAGAAGAAAAAGAGGAATAAAAGGGAAGAAGGTGGCAGAAAAAAATAGGAATTTGCATGCATGCCTTAATGAATGCCTGTAGGGAGGCAAAGCATGAGAAAGATAACATTACGACAATGGGTCTTAACTAGGGGTGATTTTTGTGCCCCAGGGAAAATTTGGCAATGTCCAGAGGCATTTTTGAGTGTCTCAGGAGGCAGGGTGGGGGGAGTGGGGG